AGTGGGTTCTATATTGCAAGTTTCAACTATCATTGTGGAAATAACAGTTATAAAACACAACACAACGTGATTGCTATCGTCATTTTCTCTTAGAGATCGACGATTCTGTTTCACAGTGAACCAATTATTTGCAAGCCATCTTAATCCCCTCGAGGGCTAATTCGTTTTATTCGGTTTTGCTTACTCAATGATGATGGTCGGGAGTTCTACAAACTTCACTTGCATCTGTTACTTTGATTTTCATACCAGTCAATCACAGTTCGTCGCTTTAAGGCTCAAGAGCTATAGCTAGAAACATATATTAGCATATTGGACGGGTAAAGTACTTTGATAGAAAGGCATACTTACAGTAGTAGTAGGATGTGCATTTTTTTCCCTTGGTATCGAAAGCCTAAGAAGCAAAAGTTATATATCTTCTTCGGCCGCGACACATAGTAGGTGAAGAAATTGTGTTTTTCTGTTTTTGTATTTCTCATCTTCTCTTGTATTGTCCAAGTGTATTGTATATATAGATATTACAAGAGCCCTAAATTAGGGATGATTGAGGATGATTAAGGTAAGTAGAGATTATGGGAGCAACATTCTTAAATTAGATACAAGAGATAAGATTGCTGACTAGGAACGTTATCACCCTCCCGCAAGCAAAGCATTGTCAACAATGTGAAGCTTGGACCGTAAAAGACGAACCCGTGCTAATGACAGTCCTTTGGTGAAGATGTCCGCGATTTGATGGCAGGTGTTGATGTAACGGATGTCAAGTAACTGGAGACCCACTAATTCACAAACATTGTGATAATCTATTTCAATGTGTTTAGTGTGACTATGAAAAATGGGATTCCGAGTTAGGGCAATGGCAGAGATGTCGTCGCACCACAATACAGGAGCGCGGAGAAGCGAGATCTGTAGTTCTCGGAGAAGAGAGAGGAGCCATTGAATTTCAGCAGCTGTTTGAGCAAGACAACGATACTCGACCTCTGTAGAAGAACGGGCAACAGTAGGTTGCTTTTTTGCACTCCAGTAAACAGGGTTGGCCCCGAGAAATAAACAATAGCCACTAGTAGAGTGGCGATCATCGGGACTGCCGGCCCAATCAGCGTCACAATAGGCATGTAAAGAAATAGGACCAGGCTAAAGTTGCATGCCATAAGAGATTGTGCCTTTTAGGTATCGAAGGATACGCTTTACATGTCAATGGTATTCTTCGGGTGCTTTGAGAAATTGACAAGCCTGGTTAACAGCGTAGTTAACATCAGGACAACTGAGAGTAACATATTGAAGTGCTCCAACCACACTCCAGTATAGAGTAGGATCTGAGAAAGGGTCACTGCGTGAATGACCAAGTTTATCCGAGGTAGCAAGGCTAGAAACAGGCTTGCAGTCCAGCATATTGGTGCGATATAAGAGGTCATGAATGTTCTTTGCCTGACTAAGGAAGATGTGATGGGGGCTTCGTCGAACGAGTTGAATGCCCAAGAAATAAGTCAAAGGGCCTATAAGTCCTTCATCTTGAATGAGTGGCGAAGTTCCTCAATGATAGCAGAGATAGCGGTGGAATCATTTCCTATTAAAATAATGTCGTCAACATATGATAATAGATAGATAAGGTAGAGCCATGATCGTAAATGAAGAGTGACGGATCCGAGATAGTGGTTGAAAAACCATTGTCTTTGAGCCGAGCTGTGAATTTTTCGAACCAGGTGCAAGGTGCTCGTCGTAGGCCATAGATGGATTTGTGCATTAAGCAAACAGAATGAGGAGCAGCAGGATCAACATAGCCTAGTGGTTGAGCCATATACACAGTTTCCTGGAGATCACCGTGTAAAAATGCACATTCGACAACAAGTTGTTGAATCACCCATCCATAAGTGACAGCCAGCGTGAGAATGACCCGAATAGTAGTATGCTTTACGATAGGACTGAAAGTGTCCACAAAGTCAATGACAGGCTATTGGTGAAATCCTTTCGCTACAAGGCGAGCTTTGTAGTGACTGATGGTGCCGTCTGGGTTATGTTTTATCCGGTAAACCCATTTGCAGCCAACGACGTTCATGGTTGGATTAAATGGCACAAGGGACCAGGTGTGTTGTTCCTGTAAGGAATTAAATTCCTCATCCATAGCATTCAGGTGATTTGGAAGCTTGAGTGTAGCACGTCGACTCCAAGGGAAGAGAAGAAGTAAGAGCAATGGGGTAACGAGTAGTAAAGGTTTGTGGTTTGAAAATACCATGTTGAGAACGTGTGATCATGGGATGAATGCAGGTGGGAGGTGGTGGGGGAGGGGGTGGTATGGTGGTAGGTGGTATAGGGGAAGGTAAAGGGGGAGATGGGAGGTCATCTATAGTTAGCAGAGCGTCGGCGGCACCGTTGGCGGGGCTGATGGTGGGCTCAACCGATGCGGTATCCGTAGGGGCGGAGGTTGATGGTAGCCAGATGGAGATAGGACCAAGTGAGGGCAAAGTGGTAGGAGATGGTGGAGAGTTAGAGTTTGTGATAAACGGGTAAACAAATTCGTCAAATTTGACATGATAAGATATGTAAACTCGGTGACTTTGCATGTCATAGCAGCGATACCCTTCATGAAATGTACTATAGCCTAGAAAACAACACGAAGAAGAGCGGAACTCCAATTTGTTAGAACAATAGGGACGGAACCAGGGATAACAAAGGCATCCAAAGGCTCGTAAATGAGAATAATCAGGAATTTGCTGAAACAATTGTTGATATGGGGAAATCTGAGAAATAATTGGCATGCGGTTGATGAGATATATAACCGTATTGAAGGCTTCAACCAAAAGCGAGAGGGCATGCCAGCTTGAGCTAGAAGAGCGAGACCAGTTTCAACTACGTGGCGATGTTTTCGCTCAACGACACCATTTTGTTCAGGCGTATGTGGGTAGGAAAATTGATGACCAATGCCATGAGTATGAAAATAAGATTCAAGTGCATCACTAGTGAATTCGCCACCAGCATCGAAGCGGAAAAATTTAATTTGATGGTTAAATTGATTTTCAACTTGCGGTTTGAAAGCCAGAAAAATTTCATAAAAATCATATTTATGGCACATAGGAAATATCCAGCTGTAACGAGAGAAATCATCAACAAACAATACATAGTAGGAAAATTTTGAAATAGAAGATACTGGGGCTGGTCCCCATACATCACAATGAATCAGTTCAAGTGGAAATTGAGTGCGTGTGTGAGACAACGAAAAGGGTAACTTGCAACTTTTGCCTAACTGACATGCAGAACAGAGAGAGTTGTCACGCTTATTTGATATTCGAAGTTGTTTAAAAATAAGATTTTGAATAGCTACAGAAGGGTGGCCGAGACGATGATGCCAGGTGGAGGAGTCAATGTTAGAAGAAAATGAAACTTGAGCTTTGAAGCAAGGTTTGGGGAACCGCATAGGATAAAGCCCATTCTCAGTCCAACTGTGGTGTAGAATTTGCCCCGTTAGCTTGTCCTTCCCAACAAATTGAGAATCATCAAATAGAAAATAGAAGTTGTTGTCTTTAGCAAAATGGCTAACTGAAATTAAATTGGTAGATGCTAGAGGACAACGAAGTATATTAGTTAATTGTATGGAAGAAACGGGATGTGAGAGAGAAGCGGAACCAACATGAGTAATAGACAAACCTTGGCCATTTCCAACCTAAACTTCATCAAAACCACTATTATTGTAGCGGAGATGGAGAGATTACCCAGATCGGTTATAATATGATGGCTAGCCCTAATATCAGTATACCAAGTGCCATCGTTAGTAGGTGGTGCAATAGCCATGGCAGCAAGTTTTTCAGGAGGATTATGATCGTGGTATGCATAGTTCATGCGATGATAGCAGGCAATGGCACTATGGCCGTGTTTGTTGCAGATCTGACATATCAGGCGACCAGTATTCAGTTGACGACCTTGAGGTCGAAATGATGGAGTAGGGAGAAGTCCGGCTTGATTGGAATGACCCCTGCTGCGTCCCCTATAACCGGTGCCACCCCTATAGGGACAAGGTGTGAATGAGTGCTGCCCAGGAGAGAGAGTTCGAGGTTTTCGGTTTGCAACGAAGGCAAAAGTAGTTTTGGATATTGAATCATCAGTGATGCTCAGTTCTTCAGAGAGTAGGAGATTGTATAAATCTTCAATGGTGATGGAAGTTTGATGAGCACGAACACGAATAGAGGATGCAAAGGAGCGGTAAGCAGCAGGCAATCCATCGAGAATGCAAAGGAGATCATCATCACTTACTGGGGATCCGCAAATTGCGAGTTTATCAACTAAAGTTTTGAATTGTTGGAGATATTCTTGCATGGTGAGGTTGCCCTTCTTGAGGTGATGTAATTGTCTTTTGAGAGACATTACATGAGCAAGAGTGAGAGAGGCATAGCAACGAGCGAGGACATCCCACGCGGCTTTTGCAGAAGTAGCACCAATGACATATGGAAGTGCAGATTCAGAGAGAGTAGCGTTGATCCAGGAGAGTAGCATCTGATCTTTTTCGATTCATGTCTTGTAATTTTCATCAATTGAAGCAGGCACTTGGGAGGTTCCATCAGTGTAAGACATGAGGTTGTGGCCTTTGAGAATTGGTTCGAAAAGAGAGCGCCAAAGAAGATAGTTCGAGCTGTTCAGTTTGATGGGTATCAAGTTGGATATGTTTGAGATAACGAGTGAGGGAGATACGATAGATGAAGACGACTGAGATGATGGATTAGGGCTTGTCGACATTTTCTTTGGGAAGAAGGAAGACGATGAGGAATGAGATGAGAAAGAAATTTCAGGATCGTCAGGCAGATTATGCCAAATGTGGCTCTGATACCATGAAGAAATTGTGTTTTTCTGTTTTTGTATTTCTCATCTTCTCTTGTATTTTCCAAGTGTATTGTATATATAGATATTACAAGAGCCCTAAATTAGGGATGATTGAGGATGATTAAGGTAAGTAGAGATTATGGGAGCAATATTCTTAAATTAGATACAAGAGATAAGATTGCTGACTAGGAATGTTATCAATAGGAGAGATTAAACCCGTTGGCCAGGGTATCATGGATGTCGTTGTAGGAGATCTTGCGATTCTCGCCAAACAATGCTTCTATTTTATACAGTAAATAATTTCCTGTAACTATTGACGTGGTTATGGTGCAAAATTCCTCAATTTCAGATGCACTTGCGTTGATGACGGCATATGAGTAATAACCATTTAGAGTTATACATGGTTCGACATTGATATATAAAGGAGATCTCACCGGCTTTGAGCAAGACATCATGGTCACCATGGGATAAATAGGAGCGATGAAGAACGGGTATTCTTCACTGAAATTAGAGGGCATTAACGGGTGGAGAGGAAGGCAGGAACAGTTGCCCTTTTGCAGCCCGAGATCGATCACTTCCATACCCCCATTATACCAAAAACTCCAAATGTTTATCGATTTCACGTGATATCGGCCATCTAACAAAGATAGCACCGTACAGTTATCCTCACACGCTAACTCGAAGCTCGAGTCACCGCAGCCTTTCAAGTTGTCCTTCAATCGAAAGGGAGAGGGTATGTTACCAACCTCGCCGCACGCTGAAGGAGCACAGGTGATTGTTCTGGGCATAGCAACTAATCCCAGCTGGTATTATGAGAAGGAGTAGTAATACATTTGGCATCTGAGCTGAGAGAATTTGTGCGATGGATAAAGATCTTTGTTCGGCCGTGGTTATTTGGTGGTGAGGCTCCATTGAAAAGGGGATGCATTTGGAGAGACGTATCGGGATTGAATTTGAAGAGCTTGGAGTCAGTCTTTTGAGAAGCCCAAGTCAAGCAAATGACCCTGAGCCGTCCAAAGTCGAGAAAGTGGAGCTTCCTACGCGGTGGAACGTGGGTGGCATGGATCGATAAGGTGGATAAATGTCCTATCAACCGTATGACGTGAATTTCACTGGAAGGCCCACGTCTCTATAAATCATAGACTATTTTTTTTATTTGATCATGCAATGTTTTCCTCTCACCGCCTTTGTGATTGGTGAATTTCAGGGACATAACAAGCGTTTATATTAAGTTAATTTAAAACGTAAGTGATGACCACAACGGTTGGAGGAAGTTTTCTTCAATCTTACATTTTCAAAAATATATGTGAAGTATTGAAATACACTTAAAAATCACAATAGACCACCGAAAATTATGTGTGATGGAAAATTTCTTTTTCAAATGTTTATTTTCAAAGTAAGTAATTTTTTCAAAAAGCCTAAGTAACGTCACTACCGAGAAGATAGATATTACTTTCAACAATGGTATAAATAATGGTATAGATATTGAATTACTTTGGCGCTCCCACGTTTTGGTGAAATTGCATTGTCACGTGATCGAGAAGATCAGTTGGGGGTGATCTGTCATTGAAATGTCCAAGTCAACCAACAAACAGAGTCAAGTCGAGAAAAGTAAATTTTGTGGACCCGTCAAAACTCCCATCAGTGGAAACTATGCAGAGATTGTTGTACATAGCTTTCATGCCTTTAAATGGAACGAAACTTCTCCCCAATTGCTAAAGTGGACATTTTTGGCAAATCCATTCTATCTAGGAATTAGCTTTAGTATCGTAAAACTGAATAATTGTGCCCTATATTGAATCAAAATTCTTGTAAGTGAGGCATCTGTGTCCATTTATTTCAACACCAATACATCCCAAGTGCTATAGCAATAGATAGCCCTGAGGATTATACCAGTAAATCAAGTACAAGTGATAGCACTTCAATTCAATTTCTACAAGAGGCAAAACATCACACCAAACAAGATTCCTCAATCTTGTTATCGTGCTCATACAAGTGACTACTAGAAATTGTTGGAACGCTTGAAGAAGATGAGAGAGTTTCAAGTTCAATCTCAGTCTCAACATAATTAACCGGCGTCTCTATCGGATACAAAAGTGGTTTCGGGGGAAGTTGTAGGTTGTCGATCTCTCCCTCTAGCATATGAAGTACTCGGCCCATTGACGGCCGATCATTAGGGCTCAACTGTATACACCAAAGAGCAACAATTATCATCTTCCTTGTTGTCTCTCTTTCCTCTTTTAAGGCATCTATTATTTCAACATCCTCTTCTTTGTCGAGTCGACCATAAACCCACAAAGGATAATAAATTTGACTCGAATTCTTCGCATTTGCATTGACATTTCTCCTTCTACCAGCTATTTCCATCAACAACATCCCGAAACTGTAAACATCGGCTTTGTAAGAAACACCGCCAATGTCCTTATAGAATAGCTCAGGCGCCATATATCCCAAGGTTCCTCTTGCTGCAGTCAATGATACTATGCTGTGATCAGTGGGATAAAGTCTTGCCAATCCAAAGTCGGAAACTTTCGGAGTGAAACTTTGGTCTAGGAGAATGTTGTGAGGCTTGATGTCGAAGTGTAGAATTTGCATGTCACACCCCCGATGTAGATACTCTATTCCCCGAGCTATGCCGAGAGAGATCTCATAAATTTTCTTATGATCAAGACAATTATCCCCATCCTTATAGAAAATGTGCTTATCCAAAGATCCATTCAGCATGAAATCATAGACAAGAGCTTGTTTGGAATAATCGAAACAAAACCCAACAAGTTGCACCACATTAACATGATGGATTCTTCCAATTGTGGCCACTTCGCTTATAAAATCTTGGCCATTAGATTTTGGTTTGTTCAAAATCTTAACTGCAACTTCATTGCCACTTCTAAGCACTCCTCTGTACACAGAACCATATCCCCCTTCACCTAACTTGTGTTTGAAATTTTTTGTGATCTTCTTGATATCCGAGTAAGAATACCTTATGGGCAAAAAATTGTTGTGAGCTTGTAGAAATTCTTCGATGTTCGTGTCCATTGCTTGGTGCCTTCTCATCCACTTATAAATTAGAATTATCAACACACATGGAGCTCCGAATATGAATTTTGCTGCCAGGAAGTGAGCTGTGTAGAAAATTGCCTTAATGATTATTGAAAAGCACAGTCCTTTTTATTTGTTATAAAGCACGTATAAAGAGTATTTTCTTGACATATAGTGCGCGAGTGTTTCGTAGATGTGAGGAAAAAAGAATCATCCATACCGAAGACAAAGCTGACATTAGGAATTGTATTCAGTGCAACATTTAGCGTCGTACCCCAGGAAGAATTGTCTACAAAAAGCAAGAGATTATTAAGACATATAATCAGTATTATTATCCTGATTAACCACAAAATTAGGTACAAATTAAGAATATTCAAAGCAAAGATTTACTAAAAATAATAACTGTTAAATAAAAAGTTACATATGCATACTATATTGTTCAAATGACGATAATCAATAGTTTTTATGTATCCAACAAGTCTCTTGTCTCAATGTGAATAACTAGGTATGCGCTATGCTGATTTTATATCTCTTACCAAAGATCGATCTAGTATTGTTGCATCACATGTTATATGTTCTTCGAACCTAAAGATTATATCTAGGGAATTTTATAAGGTAGGATCGGCAAAAAAACACACCATTAACTTTTTGGTGGCCTTTTTATTCCCCAATTTGTGAAACTCTTAATATAAAATAAAAATTAGCCGTTGAAAAGATCAGGTTCTTTGAGCTGTTATTAAAATTTGAATTTTCTTTTATTAGCAAAAGTCGAGATGTTAAATGTTAAGTTAACACCAACTTAATTTTAGTGGGTGCTATATTTCAAGTCTCTACGATAATTGTATGAACGGGAAGAAAACGCAACCCGATGTGGTTGCTATCATCATTTTCTCTCGGACAAAAAACCGTTTGTATGCCATCTTTGTGAACCAATTATTTGCATGTCATCTTAATCCCATCGAGGGCTAATTCATTTTGTCACAGCCCGGCGCTTAAAGCACAAGAGCTATAGCTAGAGCCAAATATTGCAATATACTGATGGACAGGCATACTTACCGTAGGAGTAGGATATGCATCGTTTCCCTCTGTGTCGGAAGCCTAAGAAACAAAAACGAAATGTTTTCTTCCGCGACGGCACCCAGTAGGAGAGATTAAACCCATCGGCCATCGCGTTGTGGATGTCGTTGTAGGAGATCGGGCGATTCTCCCTGAACCATGGTGCTCTTTCCTCCTGTAAATATTCTAATTCCCCCAAATAAAAAGCTGCCATTGTTGACATGGTTATGGTGCAAAAATCCTCAATATCCGATGCCTTTGCTTCGATGACGGCATATGAATAATACCCGTTTATAGCAATACATGGCTCGGTGGCGATATATAAAGCATACGAAGGAGATCTCACTTGCTTCGAGCAAGACACAATGGTCACCCTGGCTCCACCGGAGATATAGTACTGTTCATTGTAATCACCACTGAAATTAGAGCTCATTAGCTGGTGGAGAGGAAGGGAGAAACAGTTGCTCTTTTTCAGCCCGACATCGACCACTTTCATATGCCCATAATCCCAATCAATGGAACCCGAGAGATTCCACGGGTTTATCGATTTCACATGATATCGGCCATCGAACAAAGATAGCACTGTGTAGTTATCTTCGCACGCTAATTCGAATCTCGAGTCGCCGCAACCTTTCGGGTCGTCCTTCAATCGAAAGGGATAACGTATGTTACCGACCTCGCCGCACGCCGAAGGGGCACACAGGTGATTGTTCCGGGCATAGCAACTAATCCCTGCTTGTATTATGAGAAGAACGAGTAATGGGAAAGGCTCCATTTAGTAGCTGAGTTGAGAGAATTTGTGCGATGGATAGAGATTTTTGTTTGGCCGTGGTTATATGTGGTGGTGAGGCTCCATAGAAAAGGGGATGCATTTATAGAGACGTATCGGGATTGAAGTTGGAAGAGTTTGGAGTCGGTCTTTCGACAAGCCCAAGTGGAGCAAATGATCCGGAGCCGTCCAAAGTCGAGAAAGTGGAGCTTGCCGCGTGATGGAACATGTGTGGCATGGACGGATGACGCGGATAAATGTTACGTGAATTTCACTGGAAGGCTCTATAAATCATAGACCATTTTTATTTTTTTCATTTGATCATGCAATGTTTTCCTCTCACCGCCGTTCTGATTAGTGAGTTTCGGGCATGGACATAACACGCGTTTATATTAAGTTAATTTAAAACATGAGTGATGCTCACAACTTATAACTCACCCTTCACAAGGACGGTTGGAGGAAGTTTTCTTCAATCGTGCATTTTCAGAAATATACGTGAAGTATTGAAATACACGTAAAAATCTCGATAGGCCACCGAAAATTATGAGTGATGGAAAATTTCATTTTCAAATGTTTATTTTCAAAGTAAGTGATTTTTCTCGGAAAGCCTAAGTAACGTCACCACCAGAGAAGATAGATATTTGTTCCTCGATATGAGGCATGCATTTCATTTCATTTCATGTTTCAAGGGAATTCCTCACCAGAAATGACTTATCTTTTTCCCCTACGTAACCTGCGGTCAACGTCGTATACCACGAAAGTCTCAGTGTTGCCACTTGATGGGAATTTGTTTTGTCAATCCTACTAATTTAATTTACGAATAAAAAAGAGGAATGGCTTTGCCCCCGCCAAAAGCATGATTTTTGGGTGTTCTTGATTTGCTTAATATACAATTAAGCGTGCAATCAAATCCTGAAAATTATC